TGGTCTGACCACATCTTCCCACTGAGGGTATGTTATGTGGGAGGGAATCCAAAGCTATGCCAAGACCAGGAGGGACCGTACACAGTGCTTCCTTCCTGACCGCCAGACCTGACACTTAGCCGCAGAACATTATGAGATTAATCATGCAGGTTTTCTTACTTCTGTGTTCTGTGGCTAGGTACCCTGTTTTCTCCATTTCCTCTTTGCTTCAGATGTTTACACATTGGCTTTCTGAAAGTTTTCCCAATATTTTTCTACGTAAAAAATACTATTTACTCATTTGCCAGGATTTCTGTCATATGTCCCAAATCTGTTGCCTCACGGCAGGAATTTATAGCTCCGGTAGTTAGGCTGATTCATAGTGATTGCCTGACTTCCAGCCTTCAGGAATGTCCCAAGTGGTTCTTCAACTTAAAGAATTTAAATTCGATGGTGAACACATAATACCATGTATGGATGATGTATTACAGAATTATATACCTGAAACCCATATAATTTTATTAACCAGTGTCACCCCCAATAAATTCAATAAAATTAAAAAGAATTTAAATTTGATGTAAATAATGTCCTGATGGCAGTCCCCAAAATGCATCCATGAGACCCACGTAGAACTCCTTCTCTGGGAGTCTTTGAAAGGAGGGTGAATCCCTTTTACTCAGCATGGCTTCGGTGCTACCACTGCTTGTGCTGGAAGGCAAGAGGCGAGGTGAGACGGCCCTTTCAAGGATCTGCCAGTGAATCCGAGATCCTCAAAATTCTGCACATGGGCTTTTGTCAGAGGAATTGGTGGGAAGAAATCAGACAGCTGAGAACTCTTATCAGACACATAACCCACAGCACAAATACCATATGTCTTCAGGCTCCTGCCTGTCAAATCTATCTTTTCCCTGCGCTGGTAAGTGGAGCAGGGTTGGCAGTGATTTCTGCAGGACTCAAGATTTTCTGAATCATTCTCTCAAGGCTTATCTGTTGCTGATAAAAGAATAAATCATGATCTCCAGGAAAGCAGCTGGCCCAGCGACAATTGGTGGCACCGTAAGATTCTTCACCTCTGCTCTTTTGCAGACATCACTGGACAGGGAGGGGAATCTTCTTGGTGCCAAGAGAACCATTTCTCTTAAAGCCTTAGTTCAGAAAGATAAATGCACTGTCCAAGCGCACAGAAGGAGGACATGGGCAGCCAGAGCAGCAGGAAAAAAACTGGGTAGACAGCGTCCCCACATAGCAAGGAGGATGAGGGAGGGCTGTTCTCTCTGGGCTGTAGGATCCCTTCCCAGGACAGAGACGGAGGTGCGGAGATAACAAGGAGATAACTACTCCCAGTGTATTAGACACAGCAGGGGAACAGGCTGCAGCCGGGCTCCCTGAAGGAGTTCATTCCAAGCGAACAAAACAGGCATTATGAAAGCAGCAGGGGAAGAGTGGGGACTCATCCTTCCCTTTCAAATACTGCTCCTCAAAGAAAGGACAATAGTGAGTTGATAAATGCAGCTAATTGTTAGACTTCTGGAGTGTGTAAGTGCATCTCTTAAGACTGAAAGGCAAGGAGCTTGAGGGGCTTTGACCTCAGGGGTAATCACAGGCTTGTCTGTCACCTAAGCAAACAGAATAATAAATTGCTTAGTTAGTCATCTAGGTGTCACCAGCTACCCATCCCTCCCAGTGCCTAACCTCCACATGAAGTGTTTGAGTTACTGGGATTAGATACAGAAAAGGGGGAGACATCTGGACTGTAAAAGCAGGGGTCAGATTCTCTTGGCTTCTTTCCAAATGGAAACAAAATTAAACTTGTTATTCTGGGTCCACTGTCATCTGAAGGGGCCGTTACCTGCCTACTGGGACAGGGACACCACCCTGGAGGGGAAAGGTAACGGGGAGGAAGTGAGGAAAGGGACACCAAGAGAACGCAGGAGACGGTTCGGCGATGCTGGCTCCCAGACAGCCACACTCCCCGGCTCCCTGGAGGGCAGGCACACGCAGGGACCTGTGGGTGGATGAAGCCGGGCCAGGGCTCTCTGCAGCTCCTTACGTCAGCCAGGGCTCTTTGCAGAAAAAGGCTGAACCTCTGGGATTGCTTTTCCACGCTGTGTGGCACCATCTTGCAATCATTTCTCCCTTCGTTCATTCATCAGTCGGGGCTGTTGCCAATAGCAGTGAAGAAAGGAGGCTGAACGCTCAGATCAGCCAGTGGCTACGGTTAACACTGGGGCCTGAGAGGGGCAAGGTCAAACGGGCATGATTTTCACTTGCCCCTCTCTCTTATTTCCTCTGGGGATGCGTTTGACACTTCCCTTCTTTTAACTCTTAACTTCTCAGCTCAAGCCAGAGACAGGGCCACCTTACAAGGGAAGCTCAAAACCTTTGGGGAAGAGTAGGGACACCTTTAGGGGAAAAATGCAGACTATACTGTGAGCATTTGAGAACCACTTGGCTCAGTTTTAAAATTCATTTCAGTTTGTAAAATTGTTCTGGATTCCCAGCATCATCCACTGAGCTCATGAGGGCATCTCCACAAGAACCGGAGGCCTTCCCAGCGCTCACACCGGCTCATGCAGCAAGAGCTAGATCTGGAACGTGAAGTTCCTAACTTCCTCTCTGAAGCTCCCTGGCTTCACAAAGAAGTAGGTCAGAGGAGACCACTCAGGTGCTAGAGCATCCTCTCACCTGGCTGATAGTCCATGGATTCACATCAGCATTTGAAGTTCAACTTCTTTTCTCAAGAAATAGAAGTCAGCAGATTAGAATAAGAGCGCCAAATCATCAAGAACTTTTTAAGCAGGCTCTTACGTGTGTTTAAAATCAGGGTATTGAAGTATAATTTAAGTTGTGTGAGTTTTGTAATTTGTGAGGGTATGTTTTAGTTTGCACATTTTTAAAATTTTGAATTGTGGTAAAATACACACTAAATGTATCATCTTAACCATTTTAATGTTCTGCTCAGTTGTGTTCAATACATTCACACTGTTGTGTAGCCAGTCTCCAGCACTCTGTTCATCTTGCAGAAGTAAAACTCTGTAGCCATTAAACAACTCCTGTTCTCCTCGGCCCCCAGCCCTTGGCAGCCACCCTTCTCCTTTCTGTCTCTGTGAACCTGACCACACCAGGTGCCTCATGCAAGTGGAATCATACAGTATTTGCCTCTTTGTGACTGGCGTATTTCACTTAGCATAATGCCTTCAACATTCATGTATGAGAATTTCCTTCCTTTCTAAGGCTGCATAATCTTCTGTTGTATGTATAGATCTCACTTTGTTTATTGTCCAGCGGTGGACACTTGGGTTGCTTCCATCTTCTGGCCGCTGAATAGTGCTGCCGTGAACACGGGCGCACAGATCTCTCTCCAAAACCCTGACTTCTGTCATTCGTGTTCTTTAAAACTGAGTGAAGGAATGATCCTAGAAGTACATATTTTGTGTTTTTGCATTTGTTACCATTTGAAAAAAATCAGGCATGCGGCACTAATTTCACTAGGTGATACCTTTACAGCTTCTTACTGTGCTGACTTTTCAAGGGCTTCTCCTGCTGTTCTTCGGTAATACGTGAGTGCTTTGTGGATCGCCATTAAATAGAAAGTAGCAGCAGTTCAGCTCTGTCTCAGTGATTGGGACACTGATCAAGGGTGAATTGGCAGTGACTTGTTGTTTTGCTGAACACCACTGTTCCCATTTCCCCTCCCAGGGGACTTGAAGTCCACACCACCCTTCCCCAACCAGGAAAGCCTGTGGCCCTAGGATGAAGTTGCTGAAGCTCAGCAGCAATCTGCTCTACCCCTGAGTGCCCTTCTCGTGGGGAGAGACCTATAAATAACCTGTGATCCTGTTTCAAAGTCAGAAAAGGGGCTGGGGCTGAGGGGTTGCAGAAATAATTACATGAACAAACGGATCAAAGAAATGATTTGTGAATGAATCTTAGGGAAGGAGAGCCAACAAGCCATGTGGACAAATAAGATCCCTCCCCTGCCCAAACAGCCTCTCCTCCATTCCCTGCACTGTCTGCAGGCGTGCGTAAGCCTTATTCTAGATCACTTGGCATTCAGGTACCTAAGTCGGCTCAGCAATGATGGAGGGCTGAAGTGTTAGCGCTCTGCCCTCCTGCAAAGAGGAAAGAAAATCTATTTCAGGAACCGAAACAAAGCTTATTCATCTTTTAAAACCCAAGACAGGGTCCTCCACAATCTCCCAGAAATAGGGTCCTCCTGCATTAAATGCACAGAAATTAAATGCATAACCATTACAGGAGAAATAGCAGGGAAGTGGGGCTTAGGTGACAGATTCCAAAGAGCACACACTTTTGTGCTCTATCTTCTTAAAATTCATCCTCTCACCTGCCAGCCTTGAGCGTTGCCTATTTACATAACTAGCTGCCTAAAATGGAATATTAGATAATGTTACATGGCAGCTCACTTAATTTGAGCCCACCCCCAGGATATGAGAGTGGTCCAGGGGTCCTCGACAGCATGCCACGTGGCCTGCTGGCCTGCAGCCATGCCTGCGTGTGGTGCGAGCCCGTCAGCGCTCCTGAGCTAAGCAAATGTCAGGCCTGATCGCCGATCCCCAGGTGGGAGACCAGCCAAGCAGCAGTGGGGAAGGGGTGTGATTCAGCAAGTGGCACGGTGTGGTGCACTCTCTTCAGGTGACAAACAGCATCTCTTCCCTAGCTTCACAGCAGGCCCCTTGTTCTTCCCAAGGTGCTGTCTCAAAGACAGCTGACAAAAAGGGACTGAGAAGGGGGAGCTGCAAAATCTATGGGGACACTGGGTAGGGGAGGAAATCAGTCAGCTCTGATGCCATCCCTGGCGCCATGCCAGCCTCCCACCCCCTTTGTCCTTTCGGAGGCACCACTCTCCCCTCCATCAAAACTGGAGTCATGCTGCTCACTTACAGGAGGAGTATAAATAAGTGATAAGGAAGTGTTCTGATAGTGATAATCAGGTACAGCTTCTCAGCAGACTAGACGTATCACAGAAGGCAATCGTGCATGTCTTTTCATTTATTTTTCAGCGTTCCGGTTCCTGTAGTCAGTTTAGAGAAAATTCCTAACCTAGTGAAGGCAGATGGTGCCAATGTCAAAATGAACTCTACAACCACGGCTGCAGTCACCACCTGCTCCACCTCCTTCTCGGCCGTCTCCACCCCGCCCTTAATTAAGCCGATCTTGATGTCCAAGTCAGTGCCACCTTCCCCAGAGAAGATCTTAAATGGCAAAGGAATTTTGTCCACCACAATAGACAAGAAACACCAAAATGGCACCAAAAACAACAACAAGCCTTACAGAAGACTTTCAGGTATGTGTCTGCACCCTTCGAGTCTGGCTCATGATTAGACTGAAATTGAGTCATGTCCCATAACCCAGGAGTGATGTGTTCTTATAATTAAGCAGGTCTGTTTCATTTTAAGAAGGATATGGAATTCACCTACAGGCAGAACCCCTACCTAAAAATGCAAGAAGAGCTGGTTCTCCTTTTCCCAGGCCAGAGGAGGCTCTGCCACAGCTCAGTGCTTAGCGGCAGTTCCCCCGGTGTCCCAGGGGTCAGGATGCTCTGCACCAACCACAGCAGCCTATGGTTTCTGAGGGTCTTATTATCATGCTGGCAGGCTGAACTGCCCCTGGGTTTTGTAGAGGCCTCACCACCATGAAGCTGGACAACCCATAGTGAAATCTCACAGTAACTCAGAATAGGCTTGGGATAGTCCCCTCAGTGACTGCCCCACAGAAAGACACAGCCTCTGTCCTTTTCCAGGTTGGTTGGTTTCCAGGTTGATTCTGTGGTCTGCGGCTACAACCGCCTCCTCCAATAACCAGCTGGAATTTCTATGGGAATACTAGGTTAGCGCGGCAGATGAGAAGTTGGGGGATCTCTTGGGTGCACCCCTTCACTGTCCAAGCAGGCACTGGGGAGGGGCTCACGGCAGACCTTGGGAGCAGTGGCTGTCCTCCGGGGGCTCCCACATAGATGACACTTGCTTCGATTTGTTGTAAAACTAAATCTAGTGGTTTCTGCTTTTTTCAAAAGACTAAAATAAGCTTCATAACTTAGTCACACACTGTGGGCATTTATCTAATGATGACAAAGGAAAAAAACGTGGGACCACCCCATGAGAGGGAAAGTAGATCTTCCAGCGTGAGCACACTTCTTAAGCACCCCAAAAATTGTGGAGCATTTTTATTTTCTACTTTGCGTTTCTCTGTACTTCACTGTTTCTACCTTACATATGTAACTTTTTAAAGAAATTATTTTTAAAAGTACCTCCGCCCAAAGCATTCAAATGACAAAAGTGTTATACCTGCAAACCTCCTCACATACTGTTCACCTACTATCAAGAAATAAAGGCAGAGCCTGGAGTCCTCGCTGCACGTGGGGAGGCCTCACTGTGTGGGCGGGAGCCCCGACTCCTGGCTCTCCTCCTGAATGGCAAGTTCTGTTCTGGATGATAGGCCAGGCTGTGCACAGTGTCCAGAGGCTGCGGTCCTTGCGGCAGAAGCATGACCATGGCTTCCAGCCTGCACCCCAGTCTGAAGTCGTTTGGGGATTTTTTGCTCTCTGTTGGTGCTGCATTTTGTTGGTTGTTCTCTCTCATTGGGTCTTTTGCTTCTATCTCGCTTTCAGACTTGGCAGCCAGTGAAACAACCTGCTCAGCTCCAGGCCAGCGTGAGTGCTGGTGTGGGTCTGGGCATGGTCGGACTCGGACAGGGGCAAGGGAAAGCGCTCCATGCCCGGCAGCCCGGGGCCCAGGCCCTCCTTGGAGGGCAGAGAGGGCACTTAAGAAATAGGCATCTCCAGGTCTAGCCATTTTCTATTCTTAAAATTGAAACTTTAAAAAAGAAAATTAAGGGTAGGAGGCATTTTGATAGCCAAGCAGGGAATCTGTCTTAGGTATGAGAATGGTTTTGTTGCACATGTTGCCATTACTACCATCACAACCACTCCATGACCCTCAAACCTTTTCTTGTATTTTTTTAAAGATTTTATTTATTTAGTTTTACAGAGAGGGGAAGGGAGAGAGAAAGAGAGGGAGAGAAACATCAATGTGGTTGCCTCTCGTGCACCCACTACTGGTGACCTGGCCTGCAACCCAGGCATGTGCCCTGACTGGGAATCTAACCGGTGACCCTTTGGTTCACGGGCTGGCACTCAGTCCACTGAGCCACACTAACCAGGGCCAAACCTTCTTTTAAAAGTAGAACCCATTCATTGAGTATGCTCAGAGTTTACTCCACCAACATTAGAGAGTTTTTTAGGCTAGGTAACCTCTTTCTAGTTTGCAGCTGTCCAGGGTTCTCAAGGACACCACCACATTCACACACACCCCTCGCCCACCCAGTAACTGTCTTCCCGAATGCCCAGAAGAGCTGTGTCATTCCTGTTTCCAGGGGGGCAGATGCTTGCTGGGTGCCTCCCAGAAGCAGCACAGGCCATGTGAGGGGTGGAACTTTAAGGCCTAAAGGGAGGGCCTTAAGAGATTGCCCTCACTTCCCCTCATTTTCCTGGAGAGGAGAGCATTTTTGTGATCCAGAGGGGACGAAGGATCCAAAATGGGCCTAAAAAGAGCAAGTTCCTTGAAAGTAAACTGAACATGACCCACTGACAGTCCAGTGGGTAGGCAGACAATGGGGAAGGCCTGGCCCCCTTACAGCCGTCCAAGAGCATGGCCTGCCTTACCCATTCCCACTGGAGCAACAGGCCCATGTTGGGAGCAAAGCAAGCTGAAGCTATGAGGCTGGCAGGCTTTGCCTTCTATGCACCTTCAAGTTCACATCTGCATAAGGCACACACCCAGGCTTTTCCCCTTGCCCCTGCCTGTGACACCTCCAAAATGTCTCTGAATCAGGTAAACTATTTTTCTAGTCAGTTTTTCTGGTGAATAAGGTTGTGCTGAGCACTTTGCAAAGCAGGAGAGAGGCAAGGTCACACTGACCTGTCCAGGAACAATCTCCCATTTAAATGGCTACTACTAGCAGGAAGGCAGGGTGGGGCTGGGGAGATGTGATATACTCTTGGAGCCACCCAGGAAAAAGTGGCCCTTAGAAGCCTCAGGTGGCTCTCCCTGGTCTGCAGCCATCTGTGCCCAAAGGGTCACGTACCAGGAGGAGCTTTTCAAGTGCAATAAAGTGTGAGAGCCGCATGGCTCCTCCCCTCACCCCCAGTGCTCGCCCCACCCCATCCACCCCTGTGCCTTGGGCTGCATTCCACATCCTGACTTGGGAACTCTGGGTACAGAGGGGCGTCCCATTTTCCCCTGAGCCGTTCTTAAAACATTTTAGCAGTCGGTTGGGGGAAACAAAAACAGATTGCCTGACAATGTCTCACTTGTTGGTGCAAATGTGCATTTTTTTAATGTAGTCTTAATGCCAAATCCTATTTAGTCTCCTTTTTTCTTATATTTTTTGTTTGTTTCTTAAACCAGAGAGAGAATTTGACCCAAATAAACACTGTGGAGTATTGGATCCCGAGACAAAGAAACCTTGCACAAGATCCCTCACCTGCAAGGTATTTCTCTTTCCATAAAAAATACTTCCTGCTCTCGCTGGGGCCTTTGTCAAAATGTTTGCATGCCACTCTCTGCACACGGCAGGGTGTGGAACCTAGACATGACCCCCAGCTGTTCTTTGTAAAGGAAATGCTTTCTTCTCTTCCATGGTAGCAGAGTGCCTGCCTCAAACTGGCTGGCTTTTTAAGAAGAGGGAGAAAAAAAAAAGGCATCCCCTGTTACTTGTGAGGCCAGACAGTAAATTGTATTTATAGGCACTCACAGGCGGTTCTAAACCCTGCTATGTTTTAATGTATGCGGGAGCGGCAGCGCGGCGGCGGCGGCAGCGCCCTGAAAGACAGTCTTGCCGTACTCCTGATCGGCCATACCGGGGTGGCCAGGGGGGCAGCTGACCCAAGGCAGCCACCACTGGGTAACCCCCAGCCGCATATTTCATACCGAACTGCTAGTGCTTCTTGGGATTAAGGCTGTGGCCATGTCTGCTCGGTGGCTCTGTGTATCTGGGCCAAAGCTAGCCTCCCACCTGCTCCTGGATTAACTCTAGACTCTTTCACGGTGGCCTTTCATCAGAGAGGTTTTCCTGGGTTCTGCACTGAAGCTCATCATCCTATGCCATTTTTTTGGAGGAAGCTTTGGCTTAACGCCAGGAAAGTAGGGCATGGTTGCGCTTGTGTGGTCTCTGCCTCTTCCCAGCCACAGAACAGGAGCTGTTGCCTTGAAGTTGACTTTTCAAGTACCTCTAAATTCCCATGAATTGCTGCCTCTGAAATGGAGGGTCCAGAGAAGCAGGTTTATGTGCTGATCAAAGAGGCTGTGCTTTTCATCTCTCTTCTTCTTAGACGCATTCGCTAAGCCATCGGAGGGCAGTCCCGGGCCGGAAAAAGCAATTTGACCTTCTTCTGGCAGAACACAAAGCCAAGTCCCGGGAAAAAGAAGTTAAAGATAAAGAGCATCTTCTGACTTCAACAAGGGAAGTACTTCCAAACCAATCTGGGCAGGCACAGGACCCTCTGCCAGGATCTTCAGGGAGCTCTGGGCCAGAACCTAAAGTCGCATCCCCTGCAAAATCCAGGCCACCTAACTCTGTGCTTCCTAGGTAAGTCCCACCATGGCGATAGAGGCCCAGAGTTCTTGGTCAAGTGACTCTGTCTTGCTGGGTTGTATGTGGTCTGATCACGTGTTAAATGGAAGTCATCATAGTCCTGCCATGTAAGGCGATTTTGCAGTTTAAATGAGATAATGGGCATAAGGGGCTTGGCCATAGTGTTGAATGTCATTATCATTGTCATCAATCATCATTCTTCATAGCAGACCTATTCCGAACAAGAGTAAGCTGAAAAGAAAAAGAAATCCTTGGGTGACACATCAGCCACCAGGCAACTTCCTGGCTGCTTGGGATTTCAGATTAGTTGAAGATTCCTGGAGCAGGGAGTGCAGAAAACCTGGGTGAGTGGGTAGTCGGCACCTGTAGGAGCCCATTTGGCACATATTTTGTGAATTTTTTTACACAACACTCCAATTCCTCGGGTGAAGGGAAAAGTGGCATAACAGAGACTTTTTGTTCTTATATTTCTGCACACCTGGATAGCTGAGCCACCTGTCTGTGGTTTTATTTGGTTGTCCTGGACAGAAAGGAAAGAGCAGAAAAGAGAGTTAGAACCCATATGGATTAAGAGGTTTAAAATACACGTGTGTGTTTTAATGGGCAGTGGACTGACTGCCACGTTTAGTAGCAGACCAATTTGTAGGTAATAGGACAGGGAACCTTTTATTCAAAAACACTTATTGAGCACTCGCTCCATAAGCAAGGTGACTGTGGTAGGTACCCTTTGGCAGAGGTGCAGAGATGAATGAAACTAGGTTCTGCTTTTCAAGAATTCAGAATTTAGAACATAAGATGAAAATATTTTTAATGTCATTTAAAGGAAACGTTAATGTTACAATAGGAGAAGTACAGGTCCTGGTATCACTGATGGTTTTGAATGCATGCTGTGTGCATCTCATAGGGGCCAGTCAAGAAGTAGGCTTTAAGAGAACAGTTATAAAAGAAGAGAAAGGAGTTAGTTTTTAAAGCAACAGTAGATATTTGATGGCAGTTGTTGCTGATCTGCCAGGTTCTTGCCCTCATGCCTTCCACTTTGGAACAAGCCTGACCCCGTTTGACAGTCGTGGTCCCTCTGTAGGAAGGTCCAGCCTCAGCTCCGGCATTCTCGGGGAGCCGTTGTGGAATCGCGGCCCACACATGTTTCCATCATCACCATCGTCGTGTTGTCGTCTTCCATTTCCATGTCACCCCTCATTGTGCAAGATTATTTTATATTTACTTCTACTATAATGTGGATGTAAGTGAAGGATATTACCATGGCTTTAGAGTCGAGAAGACAGTTCTGTTCCAAGCTCTGTTCCAAGTTTCTGGGAAGAGCTTCAATTCTGTACAACATGACTTTCAAACTACTTGGGGGTGTAGAACTTTCATACCCACAGAACCTTACATGGTACCCAGTGTAAAAGCAGACTTGCCTCCACCTAAAGCCAACTCGGCCCTGCTCTCATCACACAGGTACCCAGAGCCTGCTGTCCCCGCAACCCTCCAAGGGATCACCTTACACTTCCCAAAGATTCCAAGGAACCCAGTTTGAAAACCTTTTTACTGTATGATTTTGACTGATGGAGGCACTTCTCATCTACCCAGTGGTCCCTGATTAACAGAGAAGCTGGGGACAGCCATTAAAAAATAAAACAGGCAACAGAGTCTTAATAGCTTCTTCTGCCTGATCCTTTCTGGTTTAGTTTTCAAAGGAATATTTGTTGATGGAGAAATGCCAAATGTAGGTGTTCTCTTATAGAATCAGAAAAAAGAGAGTGAGGGTAATCACCAAAAAGGATGTCTCTGAAACGAAGGGGGAGGCAAAGGAGAACATCACAAATGTTGCTAACAGTAATTTTTGAGGACGCTTTTCAAAGTTGATATAGATACCAAAAAACTCAGGGTGGACTCGGGTCCAGTGTTCATAGGAAATAGCATTCTCATGTAATCAGAGATTAAAAGAGCATGAGTTTAATATTAGAATTACATAAAACTTAAGATGTTTATTTTACTCATTAATCACATATATGTAATTATAATATCTATATAATAGATATTTCTTTTTAAATATATTTTATTGATTATGCTATTACAGTTGTCCCAGTTTTTCTCCCTTTGTCCCCCTTCACCCAGCACCCCATTCCTTCCAGCAGTGACCCCCCCTTAGCTCATGTCTATGGGTTGTGCATACAACAGTAAGTTCTTTGGCTTCTCCATTTCTATACTCTTCTTAACACCCCCATGCCTATTTTGTACCTACCAATTATGCTTCTTAATCCCTGCCCTTTTGCCCTATTTGCCCCTTCTTTCTCCCAGCTGATAACCCTCCCTGTGATTTCCATGTCTGTGATTTTATTCTTGTTCTGGTTGTTTGCTTAATTTGTTATTATTGTTGTTGTTTTAGATTTCGTTGTTAATAGTTGTGAATTTGTCGCCATTTTAATGTTCATAATTTTGATCTTTTTTTAAAAATAAATCCCTTTAACATTTCATTTAATAAGGGCTAGGTAATGATGAACTCCTTTAGCTTTACCTTGTCTGGAAAGCACTTCCATTCTGCCCTTCCATTCTAAACAACAGCTTTGTTAGATAGAGTAAGCTAGGGTGTACCTTGCTTTTCATCACTTTGAATACACTCACTTTTCATCACTTCTTGCTAGTCCCTTCTTGCCTGCAAAGTTTCTTTTGAGAAATCAGCTGATAGTCCTATGGGATCTCTTTTGTAGGTAACTCTCTGCTTTTCTCTTGCTACTTTTAAGAGTCTCTCTTTATCTTTAACCTTTGGCATTTTAATTATGATGAGTTTTAGTGCGGTCCTCTTTGGGCCCAACTTGTTTAGGACTCTCTGCTTCCTGGACTTGTATATCTATTTTCTTCACCAAATTCTTTTAGTATTTTTTCAAATAAGTTTTTGATTTCTTGCTCTTCCTCTTCTCCTTCTGACATCCCTATGATTCAGTTGTTGATACATTTGGAGATGTCCAGAGGGCCCTTATACTATTCTTGTTCTTTTGAATTCTTATTTCTTCTTGCTGTTCTGGTTGAATGTGTATTTCTTCCTTATGTTCCAAATTGTTGATTTGAATCCTGGCTTCCTCTCCTTCACTGGTGATTCCCTGTAGATTTTTCTTTATTTCACTTAGTGTAACCTTCATTTCTTCCTTTATGTTGTTGCTGTATTCAATGAGTTATTTGAACATACTAATCACCAGTGTTTTGAATTCTGCATCTCATTGGTTGGTTATCTCTGTATCATTTTTTTTCTAGGGTTTTGTTCTGTCCTTTCATTTGGGCCATGTTTCTTTGTCTCCTTTATTGGGCATCCTCCCTGTGTGTGGTTCTGTGTATTAGGTGGAGCTGCTTTGACTCCCTGTCTTAGTAACATGGCCTACTGTGGAAAAGGCACCTGTAAATTATGTGAGGCGGAGCCTTAGGTAGTAACCAAGGCGGGGGCAACCCACTTCACCACTTTGTGGCACTGCGTGTGTGGAGGCTCGGAGAGGAGACAGTGCTGCTGACTGGCTTCTGGAGGTTTATGGAACACTTGCCCCATTTCCAGTCATTTCACCCACTTCCAGTATGCAACTGACCCCCTTCCAGCTGTTGCCCTGGTAGTAAATCCCAGCATGGGTGGGTTTGCACACATTCTAAGTTCATGCGAGCCCTTTACATGGAGTCTCCTGAAAACCCAGCAGTTTTTTCCACCACCCCAACCCCCACTGGCTTTTATAACAAGAAGTTATGGGGATTTATCTTTCCAGCACTGGAACCTTGGGCTGTGCACTCTGGTTGGGGACTGGGATTGCTCACTCCCAAGGTATTCCTCCCAATTTTTATCCACCACACATGATAGAGACCACTGCTGCCTCTCCACCCTGTACTGTGCCTCTACGACCCTGCCCCTCCTACCCATCTGGATGAGTGTGGCTTCTTTAAATCCTTGGTCACCAGAGTTCCATACAGCTCAATATTCTGATGTTTCTGGGTGTTATTTGTTTTGAGATTTAGTTGAAATTATTTCCATAGTTGCCCTAGGAGGTGAAGTGTATCTACCTATGCCTCCATCTTGACCAGAAGTCTATAATAGATATTTCAGTTACATTAATTATCTATAATTGGCAAAAAATAATATTATCACACATGAGTAGAATTATCATAATCCCTTCCTTATCCCTTTTGTTGGAAATATTAATGTGTGTGAATTTATTTCTTACATGTTATTTTGATAACCTTGAAAATAGTTCAGCTTTCATATTTTTGAATTGCAACCCACTCTTGTCAAGGGTTCCTAAAAAGGAACTGGGTCTAGAATTGGAAGAGTTAAAGTTAGAGACCACAGGTCAGAACAGAATTGGAAGTGCGTATCGCAACTCTGTGTTTATTAACTAGATGAGCATGGTCATGTTTCCTAGTCTCTGTAGCCTCAACTTGCTCAGCTATAAAATGGAGCTAAAAATAATTTAGTGAGATAAAGTACCAAGCTCATAATAAGCACTGAGCTAATGGCAGCTGTTAGTGGTAGTGGTCTTCAATGGGAAAGCAATGTGAGTAAACAGACCTTGATAGTACCTGACTTCCATTTGCCTATCTTCTTGCCTCCTGTCCCCCAACTCCAGGGCCTTTAAATAACATACACATGTGCTCTGTTTCTTTGCCTCTGACTCTAAGGGAACACATTACTTGTCCCAAAGTACCCAAGGGCTATGGACAACCAGGCCAGCCATACTGTCAAGACCTTGTTGGAAAGAGAGAAGGAGGCAGAGTTTCAGGCTGGTCTCTGACAAACCAGGCTTGGACCTCTGGGAGGGAGAGGAAAGACTGGCTGTGGAAATCAGGTCTGACAAAATCTGGGCACATTCCTCTCTGGTTTGAGAATGCTCATATATCTAATCTTAAAGTATAAAATGGCAAAATCCATTGAGTTTTAGATTGACAAGGGGCAGTGAGGAGAGAGACAGAAGGTCCTAGATACCTGAAAAAAGATTAGAGATATGTATGGAATGAAAGCAGCTTCAGTTTTAAATAATTAGGGGAGTGTTATTGCCAAATTGTAAGCCGTTTCTCTGTGCTTTTTCTACATTCTTTTCTCAATATGGGGAGGCTTTTAAGTCTGATTTTCACCTCTTATTAGCTTTGCAAGCCACTTCCTATTCTAAGAAATGTACACAATAGTTAAATGCACAGAGGCAGTAGGTAACTTGGATAAGAAAGTGTATGCAACATGCCTAGCACATAGTAAGGACTCAATTAAGGTCAATTGCCTTGTTCTCTCTTCTCCAAAGTACTCAGACAGACTGATGCTCATGTTTCCACAAAGTGGTGGGCATGGAGACTTTCTTTATGTTTCCCTGAGTGAAAA